GTGGTCTGAAATTACAAAAATCACGCAAAAACTGTGACACTTCCGATTCATCAGATGTTATCATAAGTATTTAATACCAGAAATTAGTATTGATTTTTAACGTGCAACATGAACAATTACATATTGATGATTACTTCGACGGCAACATTTGAATGCATTGAATGCTTTGCGATGCATGACTTTTTGAGACTATTGGACATTCTTCTTTGAGAGCTAAAGTCATACGTTATTTCCAAAAATAAGAGAGCTTGAGAAATGAGGTCTTTGCGCCGTTTTTCACATTTCAGAGTACCGTGCGGCGCAGAGGTCATCGGACGACCTCAGGTGCGCCGATAACTTACAGCACTGCAGGTGCCACGGCGTTGCATATATTATTCTTCCGATAGGTCCGCTCTCTCGCGGACCTATCTGCGCGACAGACGACGCGCCGGTCTCGCGTTACGTTTATTCCGAGATACGTCGTGATTTATTGTCCCGTGTGCGCGGAAACTGAGTCAAGGTGAAATTTATCGACACCTCGGCGAGGAGTTATCTGATATTCCAGCGCGATAATTGACGCTATTGCTGATTAGTCGCGAGACTCGTCGACCGTTGGAGAAATCCTCTCCCTTTCTCGGTGGACGGCGACGGAAGATCCTCTCTCTTATATTCGATACGACACTCGCTCGACGTGTACTTCCGTGCGAATGCGACTGCTCGAGTGCGCGCGAGGCGACCTTACGACCGGAGGATCTCTGCTGAAGGGAGAGGGAGAACGCATTAATCTCCTTCAATATTAGCGGACACGACAACCAGCGTTCGGCCGGTTGTTCCATTATGTCTGATTCATGTATCGGAAAGGACAGAAGATAGATGCGTTTCCGTGCGCACTTCGTGGCCTACCATTAAAATTCCATTAAGCTCCCATTAAAAGTCCATGCAAACGTTCTCGTTCCGATATGAGAACTACATTCCCGATGATGCGGTTGCAGAGCGGCGCAGGTTAAAATGCAATAGCGAATTAACACATTAGCAGCCGGGATAAAATTATGCTTCTTGCAGTTCAATGCTGCCTAGCTGATAGAATAAAATTGCGATTGCTTGCAGTACATATTCAGTACCATAATATTATATGTTTTGTTTAACGCATTTGTTTTACGCCTTATGTATACGAACAGTATACATAATACAATATTCGGCGCAGCGCAACGTTAGTGTCAACGTGTTAATAATTTATCGCGAAAAATAGTTCAATCATTTCTTCACCCGCTCTCTATTGATTCTGCATCAGAGCTTTGGCGCAATTGGAGAGATAGAGACAGACAGACAGACAGACAGAGAGAGAGAGAGAGAGAGAGAGAGAGAGAGAGAGAGAGAGAGAGAGAGAGAGAAGGAGCAAACATTGTCGAGAACTAATTAAAACTACATCGACGCATTCGCATTGGATCGTCGTTAGAGTGGAATTAGACGGGATTATCGGGACGGAAGTGTCGCCTTTAAATCCACCTCGAGTGATTTCCATGCCTACGCCGCGCATCATGCAGAAAGGTGTGTGTACTTGAAGGGCGCCCTCTTAGGAGGAAGGGTCCAAGTGCATAGGCCGATGAGGATCGAATTGCTCTCGTAATAAGCCCTCGAAGGTCGTTGAAAGAACGCAGACGACGATGCCCCCGTTTGTCGCGCGACGTTTTTCAGGAGAAACAGGGGGCTGCCGAAGCCTTTCGCAAAGTCGGCATACGTGTGCGCACATTCGAGATTTACCGCCGCGGAACTCTTTATTCTCCCTCGCGAATCTCGCGGTCACGCTCGCTCATGAATGGATGATCCTCGCTGTCGCCGTCGTCGTCGTCGCGCTCGCTCGCTCGTGGCGGTTAGTTTACGGATATGTCGCGCATCATTTAATGTATTTGAATAATGGATGACGTGTGCTAAACAGGGCGGTTAGAACTTGGGGGAATAGTAGGAAACTATTAATACAGTAAGCAACATATACATATATGAATATGTAAGACGACGAATCCTTTGCGATGCAAATTGTTCGCGCACCGGATTTACCATAATCCGCCACGGTTTATCGTTTCTCGGTGGAGTGCCGTTTCTGTTTCTGTTTCCTCTTGCTTCTTTCTTCCCACCCTCCCCCCTCTCGCGCGTTCGCCTCCTTTTCTTTTCATTAAGAACATTTTCCGCGTGTTTACATCCGTGTGTTCGTTTCCTCTCCATTATGGCACACACGACATCGCTTTAATCGCTTTGCGGTACGTACTCGCCGATTCTGATTTCTGATCCACTTTAATGGTATGCGAGCAACTAACGAATTATGTAAATACAGAGTTCGGGCTTTATTCACGTTCTACTTGGGACTTGGACGTCGGTGGGGAGTCTCGAAATAAGGCTGCAGTCTGCGAATTCGCTCGGCTTGTTGGAAGACCCCGGCAGACGATGCACTCTCTCGTGCTTTGCCGTATTTGCTATTGAAAGTGGAGCCGCGGTTTAAGCCATTTCACTCCTGGCTCTCTACGATACGACTATTCGTGTTTCTCCCCGATACTGACTAACAACTTAAGCTCCGCGATAATACTCGAGTCTCTGCGGATTAACGAATCTCAGACGCTTGGTTCTCACCGAGAGACTCCCATTCTGACGCGCCAAAAATCATTCGTCGCGACACAAATGAACGACACGTCGCCCGTGCAGGACGAACGAGGCGAACATAATGCAGTTCCTAAACTGTCCGACACACCATGGACAGAGGGCGAATCCTCTGCGCGTAATGGAGGAAATTGTATTATTTAAATCGCGAACGAGCGCGTGGTATAACGCGATAACGTTGGTGAGCCTCTCGCGTATCTTGCATTAATATTGGATAGACACAGGGCAGATGTATCGCCGAGTATAGCTTTCGAAGCAGAGGGTGACAGTTCAAGCCACTTAAATGCAACCCCGGTGTACGGGAGTGCACGCGTGCGTGTGCCCCTTATATCCCGCTGAAATTCGCTGCGTGATACGACCATGTGTGAGTTCTCGGATTATATATCAGGACGCGGGGTGCAACGTTTATTTTCTCCTTGGCTGACCGTAGTCTGTTTCAGGTGTATACGCTGAAATGCGGGATTACGGGCTTTAACGAGCGACAACATGCGCACGTTGCCGCTACCCGAACATCCGATTAATGCATTATAAATTAACAATATAGTTACAAATTCTGTCGCTCCCTGACGCTAAATTAATTATCGTCGAGAAATTGCGGAAAGTAGAGAGAGAGAGAGAGAGAGAGAGAGAGAGAGAGAGAGAGAGAGAGAGAGAGAGAGTGTGTGTGTGTGTGTGTGTGTATGTATGTGTGTGTATGTGGAAAGAATTTAGTAGTTGCGATGTGATAAAATCTAGGATTTTGGGGTAACGAATAATGTGACATTTTACTTTGACATTTGTACTCGCTACGAGTGTTTTGTGCGCGATATTTTTGATACGATATTTTCCGCATATTGCGTTGAAATTATTTGTCAGCGCTCGTGTATACGCGCGCACAGCAACAAATAATTTTATAATGTCAAGAGGATACTTTTATAAAAATTCTTTACGCAATGCAGCAGCGCGTCATTTGATATTTGGTGCTGTTCTCTCTCTCTCTCTCTCTTTCTCTCTCTCTCTCTCTCTCTCTGTCTCTCTCTGTCTCTCTCTCTCTATCAAAGCATACTCGAAACGTACAAACGCGTAATTGAATAGATACGTCGTTCAAAGGCAACGCTTTCATTGGAGTAAAATCAATTTTTGATTTCAGCCGTTCCTATCGTTTTGTTTCTTTCACCAGTAGTTTTTATTGTGTGTCTATGTTTTTTCCAAAATAAAGATTGCGCTCGATATGGTACGCGCGCTCGAAAAATGACACGAGCGGGTTAACAGTTTACCGGCACTACCGTTTTCTCGTGATGGAATGTGTTTTTCTATCAGGACTGTTTCTATTTTAGTTGCCGCACTGTTTGACGACACGCGGTCTCGAAGCATCGCGCATATAAGGTGCATTCTAAAAGGTACGCGGACATGATGTTCACGCGTGCGAATTTTGTTGCTGCGGATGTTGAACCACTGCCAGTGTTTTGTGCCTGCTGTGCTCCCTAACTTGCCATTACAGTTTGGATTGTTTCCAGCTGATACCTCGCATACGGCGCGAATTCCGACGTGAGGTATTTGGTTTTTAATGTCCGAGAAAATGCGGAAGAATTGGGACATAATAGGAGATGTGATGATCGCTGAAGCGGGATACTAAAGTAGAATTTTGAGCACATTGTTCCGTGTGTGATACATTTTTTTCACTTAATACTTTATAAAGATTTTGAGTGAAGTGTTGACACCTTGCGACATGTTAAGCGCGAAAGCAGTATCGCACACACATACACGATCATTTGATCATTAATTGATTCAAACTATGTATCTTTTAATTTTGTTTCGCTTATTGTTCTTTCAGTATCCTTCCTGACTCGTCGAGACGCATCTGTTGGTCTTCGTCTAGCGCGATTTCGTGTTGAATAATACTTGGATAGATTGGGTAGATTTTGAGTTGGTTGCAACGAGTTTGATCGTCCGTACGCCGCACAAATTTGACGATTTTGAAGCCTTCCGCTATGCTTAACAATTGAATGCGTCCCGATTACTCAATGCTTTCATTATTAAAAATGCAAACATGCTTTTGCGAATCAAAGCAGCTCCTCTCGTCTACTATCGAAAATATTGTACTTAGAAAATTACAATCTCACTCCCCGCTACGCTAGCTCATTTTTCATAAACGAAGACTTTTGCCCCAGAAAAGATACCTTCGTAGAAAGTGGAAGAAAGAAAGAAAGAGAATAGTTTAAAGAGTCAGTTCGTGAGCGAAGAAATAAAATCGCTCGCGCGAACTAACGGAATATCGCGAAGGTGCTGGCGGTAGTTGACGTTTTCTTCTCTCGTGAGACTTCTATACAACGATACTTATAAAGTGCAATAACGCGCCTCTCAACGTGCCGTTCGTCCGGTTGATGTTGCAGTTACCAAGCTGAGGGAGCACTGGGACGAGACAAATTCAAAAGTCATGCAAAGGAAGACGCAGCTGGACGCGATGCTGGGGGACAGCCAGCGATACGAGGCCAAGAGAAACGAGGTGGAGGTCTGGCTGGCGCGAATGGAAACTCGCCTCGAGAGAATGCGAGCTGTTGGACACACCGCCGACGTACTCGAGGCGCAGCTCAGGGAACAAAAGGTACGTGGCGAAACTCTCTTTCCGTGTTTCTTTCTAGTGCGCGTAACCGCGTTAGCCCTTCGAGTTGGTGAGTTTTTAAAAAGTCCGCGCGTACGCTTGAGAAGTGTCTTTAGTTGTGGACAGTGAGGCAAAAGGCGCGGAGAAGCGTTGCGAAGATACTGTAATATTTCCATATGGCCTGTCTTGACTCGGTGTCGCGAACATCGCAATGACGCTCGATTCTCGGGAGTCCTTAATAGCGACAAATCCGCTATTGATAAATGTGAGTCGTTGAATAATATCGCGGTGAATTCATCGAAGTGCGAAATCGATAGGACAGATTTCTCTGTGTCGTGTCAATAAAGTGTCGCGAGGTGAATTCTTTTGAGATTTCGGGAGATCTCTCGAAAGATACCGATAGAAGTAACGATCTCTCGCCTGTGCGGTCTAAATGGAACGTCTGGTTTGGTTATCGAGAGCTCTCCGTCTCTTTCTTGTTACGTGATACATTTCGTTGTTTATTGTTACCTTCTACGTCGCGGCTCATTTTACGTTATTTTTACGGCGGGATGTTTCGACAGCGCGTTTTTCACCTTGTATACCGGCAAACGCGTCGCTATTGAACTAGGGTAGTCCGTTATCCGATACTACTTCGTCGCGCGACAACCAGGAGAGAGCCCGTGAATTACCGTCCTCTTCGAATATAGATGGTCAGTGTACACAGAACTTTCCGCATTAGAAAAATTACCTTCCTTCTTTACATTGTGTGTAGAGGAAGAGTTTCGTTGTAACGTGTAACCATTTTATAATATTTATCGCAAGCCGCGCGGGGACGTCTCGAAAGCGCAAAATCTCGGTACTATTATGCGACATACATTCGCCCAAGCAGCACACACACGCGCGCATTCACACCGCATGTGTATCCGAAGTTAGCAGGTGCAAATATTTTCCGAAACCGCGAACTTTTACCATTTGTAAGCAAAATTCAAGAGAGCGAGCACTTTGAAATCCATCTGCCTGGTAATAAGTCCTTTCCAGCAATCTTCTCCCACTTTGCATACGGCGCTATAACGCGGTATAACGCGCTTCGAAAAAAAATAGAAAAAAAAGAAAGGAAAAAATATAGATGAGGGGAAGAAGGTTGCCGGTGGGGGAGAGAGATGAAGCTTCCCAACATCTCAATCAGCGAGATCTCAGCCGAAGCACATCACGCACGAGGAGCTCTGTTTAGATTCAAAAGAGCCAAATGAGATATTCATGGAATAATTTATTTCCGCGGCCTTCACGTCGCCTTTGAGTGGAACGCATTTGCAGCGCTTCTTCTTTCGAACTTAGTGTGTCTTCTGTGAATGGGTTTTGAGATGAAAGCGCAGTTCGACGTAACGTCGCCTTCAAAAGCCGAGGCACGGAGGGAGGGTGGGTAACGCGTTCGGTTCTAGCATCTTATTTAATTCCACTTTCATGAGCGTTCATTCGGAGTCGTCTTGGCGCTTGTCCGCGAAAAACGCAATTATTTATATGGGAGTTTTATCCCCGACGCTTTGCAAGTTTGATCGGGACCAATCAGCGTCGACAGATAGCCGAAGGACGAAGTTGCGCCGCACGGTACATCGGCGTGAAACTTTAGTCGAAGCTGCTCTCTCTTCTCCCTTCCTCCCCCACCTCCTTCCCCCCGTGAAGATTTAACTTCGCCGACTTATCGAGACCTGAGTGCGAAAGGAAGCACGGCTTCTTCTAACTCGATACGAAGCCCGGAGTTAGATAAGTTTCCTTTTTTCGCCCGCCGGGCCCGCGCCCTCCTCCTCTCGATTTCAACTCGTTCTCTTTTCTCTCGTCGCAGTCGTTCCACGCCGAGCTGCACCAGTACAAGCATCACATCGAACTTTTTAATCAGCTCACTCAGAAGCTGATAGCGGTTTATCAACAAGACGACACTACACGCGTGAAGAAAATGACGGAGACGATCAACCAGAGATACAACAACTTGAACACGAGGTAGGCCCGCACGAGCCGACGTATAGTGTAAGACTTGAGGATATCCCTGGTCAAACGTTTTAAATTAAAGCTTACAGCATATTTCAATTAAAATAAACTAATTTAGTTTATTAGTGATATATTATCCGATTCTGATAGAAATGCCTATGATATCGTTAGGTATATCCGTAATTTTTCTACTCTCAGAATTTTACGGAAACATAATATGAATGATAGATGAGAAAAGACCAAAAGCCTTTTTATAACATCTACATTTTTGCTACATGAATATTTTTCCTTGCATGACATTCTCATATCAGATAAAGATACATCAATATATAATATTATGTATAGATCATCCAGCGTTCATACACAAAATTTGATTTTCGATCAGGTTCTGCTGAGTAGATTCTTACACTGCGCGAGCAATTTCTTCCCTTCCCGCGAGAATACCATGCAACGATTCTTCGCGATGCAATTTTCTATGTTGAACGAATTCGTAGTCAAACGAGTCGATCGAATCGGCTTGAATCCGCGACGCTTAACTTAATGTGGAAATGCTGCGTTATTAAAAAAGTCATGTAATTTATTCTCAAAGTTTCGCTTCCCCTGAATTATTTATCATTTTATTGAATAGTTGGTTCATCGCATTTAATTCTTCGCGGCTTCATTACCGAGATGTGCGGCGGCAGAAGTTGCGAAACTGCAAGGAGCGACGAAAAGTGATCGATAAATAATTCTCGCCGTCGCGAATTCCGAGTTTGCCGATAAAGAATTCTCAGACGACACGAGAGCGCGATTTCCTCGTGGAACGGGGGTGGCTTGTACACGCACTTCGCCGCGCTGGTGTGGTTCAGGACCACACCATTACGCGTCTGTGGCGTTTCTCAAGTTGAGGAAACTTCGCCGCGGAATCAGACTGTAGATCACGGAGTAATACTGTATCGACCGATCCGTTTCCAGCATCATCAATCGAGGGAAACTGCTACACTCCGCGATGAACTCGCTCCACAACTTCGACCGGTCTCTGGACAAGTTCCTGGCCTGGCTGAGCGAAGCGGAGTCTTCGATGGAGGGATTGGAGGCGGAAGCCGATCGACTGGGCGGACGACGGGATCAGGGCGCGCTCAGACGACCGCAACATCAGCTTAAGGTAAGATTGTCACGTTCACGGGAATCTCGCGACGAATCCCGGTACGGTAACGTAATCGTCACGGTATGATGCGACGCGACCGCGAATTGTGCGTTGAGGCAACGTCAGCCCTTACGGCTTCAACGTTGTCTCTCGCGAAATCTCTTTTACTCTATTTTATTCTATTTTCCGTGATGAGATAGCTTGGAAGATACTGATAAGCTTCAGTTTTGAGTTGGGATAATATAAAAAAGTGGGGAAAGTTTCGGTGAAAAAGCCTGCGATTTTTCAGTTTATCGTATTCAATGGGAAAAGGAATTTTTCATTCACCAATTAATCGCCCCGCTATTCTCTATTGTTTTCTATTGTTCTCTGCCAACGTTCTAATTCAGTGTTTGTATATCTTTCTCGTGGTCGATTTAACGCCAGAGAAAGCGTTAAAAATCAAACCGCACTTTTTGATTAACTCAATGCATCGAAATGTCGTGTTTCTTTCAAATTGGAACGATGAAGTGGCCGCTGATATTCATTATTATATTATCTCTCGTAGTTGAACAATGATTGATTATGATTTTCGAGAATTTTATGTTGAATATCTAAACGTACGAATTTGACAGCTCTTCCTCTCTCTTTCTCGTGTGCAAGATCTCCCAATTTATCAAGATCACAGAATTGCAAATCGCCACTTTCTCCTTAGATGCAAACTTCCTCAACGCTTCCATTTACTTGTTGCGTTTAATCGTATAATCGTCTGAGTCGCATCTAGGAAGTCACGTGTGTCCGTAACATGTTGCGCGCGCTTTGAAAGAGGCTTCGCAGAGCAGATTAAGCGAATCGACCTTTACTTTTAAATGGATGTTAAGTTAATCCGTTAAATCATTCTTTAGTATAAAAATGACACTCCACTGTCCCGCTGTCTTGTTTACTCACGGTTCATTATTCTGTTCATATTTCTTTAATGGAGAATATCTCTTGCGCAGGATAAAATTGTATCAAGCTAATTTTGCCTTAAGTAAGAAAGAGCTTCGAAATAATTTAGTAACGCGAGTATCAAGCAACTAGAAGTGGGTAGATAATTGTTTTATTAGTTGTTTTATGGCCCATCAAATTAGAAACGAATAAATATATCAGCTGAGTGTATTTTATATGACCTCATTGAAAGACAAAAAACCTATCTGTTAAAGCTTAAGGATTATATTGCTAACCGGAAATTCGATATACACTAATATTTTTATTTTCCATATAATATGTATGTACACACGATACAGTTGAATAACAACTTATTTTTACTTTATCATACTTTAACATCACATTTTCATTAGTTTATTTTAACGTTACATTACTTTAATGTCACATTACACTACATTTTCATTAGTTTACTTTATTTCATATTATTTCTGACTTTTGAACTCTCTTGTGTCTGAACTACAAGAAAACTCTGCATGTCATTTCGAATATTTAAAGTATATGTATAAAAATAAACTGAGATTTTGTCATTATTTTTTAATTACTTTTTCCTTTACTAAAGAGAGCAACATCACATATTTCCATAATGGTTAAAAATACTCTCAAGTAGCAGAATGCCATCAAATGATGTATTAATGATGTATTATTGACATAGAGACGTCATCAGTGTGTCATTAAAACGTTATTTGACATTATCATATTTGCTGAGATTGCGCTTCAAAGTGGAATAATTTTTTATCCAAACTCTGAGTCATCGTTAAATTTTTCGTGATCACTTTTACACGTGATACAGATTAATCTCTAATTTTCCTAAAATTGTTTTCATTATTTTTGAGATGTGGGCAATACACGCTTAAAGATAATTTGTTTTCGAAATTAAATAAAAAGTGCGATTTGCGCGCGATGTCGTTTTAACACGCGATGATGATTTGGTGTCCACTACGTTGAATTCAGACCTCTTCACCGTCGCTCGATACAGGTTTTACGGCTTCGACTGATTGCCATAAAAGCGTGTCGGAGGTGGCAGGCTAGTCGGCGTATCGACGTATCCATTAAAAAAAAAGACGATCGATATCGAGTATCGATATAATGCGGTGGCGGGCTATCAACCGGTCGTGCAGAAACGTATTTTGCTGCGCTTTATATTTGATTCTCGCGAAGATTTAAGTTCTCGCGCCGCGCCCGTACGGCATTATTTTCCGCGCGTTATTTTTTTGGTCCTGTCAACACATAACTATCCCAAAACTCGGACGCCGCAACTGGCGTCGTCGTTGTGCTCGCGCGCGCCCTTTGAGCGAGCGTGATTTAGTTAGCTTGTAATTTTGCATTTGAATCGGCTGCTTTTCACGCGCGGGCTGACGCTTTTTTCCGGAGCGTTACCGATATTTTCGCAGCGGTTGGACGCGTCTCGTTAATTCGCGAGCGATCCTCCCCTTCGTTTGCCGCGGCAATGGACGCGGAGAGTGACGGTGAAGCTCGTGAAGAATCATAGAGAATAAATCTCTCTCTTCTTCTCGCAATTGTTGCGTGCTTACGATGTTCATTGAAATACGCAATTTCGCGCGCGGCTCGCTCACGTTCTCCCACGTTGTTGCAGACTTTACGCAATTTTCACGCGAAACTATTGTTAGCCGATAAATCATCTGATTAATCAGCACTAATTAGGATTAATATTGACGTGAAAGTGTCAGTATTAATCTCGAGTCGAAATTTGGGTTCTACGTTAACCTCGCAAATTCCATTGAACTCGTGATATTTTTATAATTATTTTTATTTACGTTGAAAATTTTTATAAAAATCAGAGACTTAAAAAGATCGGAAAGGAAACGGATGTAAGCCTTTTCGCCGACTGCCGTTACACGCAAAAAAATGACTTATTAATATCAGCTAAACCGCGGTAGCTGATTCAAACTTAGTCAAAAGGGCTAATCGTTTAGCTGTCACTGCTAAAAATTGGCTTACAGCTAAAATGCATTCGCTATGAAATACAAATATATTAGGTGACATTAAAAATGCACATTATTTCAAGTAGCTAAGAAAATGGCAGTTATTCCTAAATTTCTTATCGTATACATATATTAAAAAAGTTTGCCGCACAGCTACAATCATTTGTTACAGTCATTTATTTCTAGCAACTAATATTTTTCGCTGTAGCGCTTAAGTTTAAACAGCGAATAAATTTAGTTAGTATCGATATTAGCTGTCGCTATTTCAGTAACATCTTATCTGCCACAGCTATTTTTTAGCTTTGGAAGCTAGTTTTTCTTTTTGCGTGTATGTCCTGCGTCCTGCATTCCGCTCTGGTTAGGCACTCGATAGCCTCACGCGGAAATACGAGTCGACGGGAAATGAAACGTCAACTAATAATCCTATATTAACCAACAAAGATCATCAAATGCTACGAACGAAATTTTCAATCGATACTGTTCTAGTTTATATTCCGAAAAATCGTATTTAAGGAAAATTTTACTGAAAATTCAATGTAATGTGAACTGTAGATTTTTCCAGGAAAATTTTCCCCAAAGAGGACGTTTCAAAACGCAATCCTGATAACTTTGGTAAAGATACGGGATAGGCTTTGAAAGTGTTATTGTTGTCGTAGCGAGTGACAGTTGGTGGAATAACGTAGTCCCTTTCGCTCATTGATTTGGCCACTTTCATTTGGCCGCGTGCTTTTTTCGTAATGGAGTTATTACGTTCCGAGTCGACGACTGGCGCACACACCGCAACACGTGCATCGATACGGTAGTTATAATTCCCAATGGGTGACATTAAGATATTTCATCGACTTTTGAAATATTTAATCGAGTTCTCGTCGGTATCGCGTTCATTAACGTAGATTTCTCTAATCGTATCTATGCCAATGTCGGCGCCAATGTCATGATGGAGTATTCGAAGCGGCCGGAAGTTAGAATGTGGGACGTCAAGGTGCGGGCAGTGGCAGGTTATATATTTCCAGGTGTGTCAAATCATTCATTAGACGGGAAATTTCTGGTATTAACGGACGTGTGACGAACTCACTCGAAGTATGGAAATACACGGCTTGAAATTTAGATTACTATTAAACTGGCGCTCTTATAGTCACTTCATAAATAACTGTAACTTTATGAATACATGATCATACCCGTTAAGCTTACTTATCACTTTGTCCTACAAGAAATATCGATCCAGAATATATGAGTACGAAGACATAACTAATTCAGCGCTCAACCAAAGATCGTAAATAATTTATGATTATAAATATTGATCCAAGTCTACCATGTATGTGTGGGATATAATAAGACCTCCTGGATAGCAAAATTTAAAACACAACTAATGTTTACATATCTTATAATTCTTCCCTTTTCACTTCATTAAATATTTAAATCCTATTCTCGATGCCAATGAAAGATATTTCTTATTAAAATCAAGAATAAACGTTAAGTGCAAGTAGAATAGTGAGACACACATATAGGATCAAATGCTAAATAATTATTGTTAGTGTGTATTTCCTAAAAGTCTTCACAACATGTCCTGTATGTGCTGTAGTTTTATATCTTGACATTCTTCGCTAAGTCTCTAAATTTAACCAAATTAGCAGGATAATGTAAAAGTGAAATTTTGAGCCGGAAACCGTTAGTAGATCGTCCGTGGACAAAAATAACTCACGCGATAACGTGAAACTCATCTTAATTACGATAGCGGACGATCACTGTGGAATAGCGCGGGTTGATAATGATTACCGAGCGTTAACCGGGCACAGTAATGAGATCGGATAATTACGCGCTATCTGTGCGCGATATTCGGCAGAATTGTTTGTAAAATTGCGATTGATGGAACATTCACGGTTTAAAGTTAACCAATACACGCATACACATACGCACGCACGTTCGCAGAGATCGAGTCGCCGGCAATTAGAGTATCTTCGGACAATTATGCTCATAGCAGTTTTTTACTTACCTACGCGCGTGTCGTTACAAGACCAACCGATGTGTGACGCGATCGCGATCGTTTATTCTCGTCCGTTACGTTATATTTACACGTTCTCGTTCCGCGGCTGTACTTATTATTGACAG